AATCAATCAAAAGCTGACGGCAAGCTTTTGGAGATGAATTCATACTGTGAATCACTTGAAGGAGATTGTGGTAGCTGTGGTTGTAGCGAGGATTCCGAAATTAGTGGGGCGCTCTTCAGCAGCAAAATTGAAGCAGTAGGTTCATGTGTCCTCTTATTTGTATGCTGTGAATATCTTTGTTTTCTGGTTCTCCTTTCCATGCAAAGATTTGGAGTTTGGACTCAGTTAAGTGAGATGTTTGAAGTTTTGAGGTGCGTGATGCTTTTACTGTTTTAGGTGCTGACAGATGACAATGAAAGATTCTGTTTCTGGTTTTGTGCATCACATGTTCATTTTGTTGGCCAAATGTCACTTGTTTATTATTGGGCCTGCAAAATGCACATTACCTCCATTTTAATTATCAGACTTTCCTCGTTTACTCTGACACTGTAGCGTTACTTTTTTGTAGATTCACGCCGACTATATTCATCTAGCTTCAACTCAGCTGGAAGTGCAAAGAAAAGTAAGCATGCGTATACCAAGACAATTTCAATTCTCCCTGTTTAACATAGTCTTTTACATTAGATTTTTTTGACTGATCAGCGACGGTTATAAGCATTACTCGTGAAAGCTTCTCTCGATTTTGTTTCTGCTTTACGTGATGGTTTTTAAGTACACATATTTTAGGAGAAAACCATAATAGAACATTAGTTTAGTTATTTCAGATTCTAAAATGTTTCTCCATTTTGTTTTTTCTTTTTTAAGTGAACTCATTTTACTCTTGGAACTCTATGGGATTGTCAGAATTGTTTTGAAGAGAAGGAAAGTAGTTACGCTGGTGTTTTATAATATCAGCTTCGTTTGCTTTTATATAGTAGTCAACATTTTATACCTTTCAATTTGCATACTGCATGTGTCTAATGAGCTTATATGGGAAGTATAAAAGAATTAGTGGGCTTGCATCAGCTTCAGAGAATTGCTAAACTTCTGCTATTCTTCTATTCTTTTTCTCACTAATACGTCTGTGGTAGAAAATGAATTGAGTTGCCCTAAGGTGCCAGGACTCTTTTATTATTGACTTGCTGTGTTGGATAGCCTTAGAAGGAATAGTATCTGAATTGAAAACTTGTTAATGTATCAGAAATAGAATCACAAAAGCCATTAGATTTTATATCAACTGCCCATGCTACTGTTTGTGATAGTGTTTTATTTCTAACCTATGTTTGTCATTTTTGTTACATAGACTGCCATCATCCTTAGACTGACTTTAAAGTAAACATATTTAGTCCTTGGACGTATCATCCCTTATTAATTCTTTTGTCTACTCTTGTTTTTCTCTGTTAGCATTATGAGTCTCTCCTGTTAGAAGCCAAAAGTAGAAAAGAAAATTCCAAACTAGAAGCAATCGAGAAAGCTGTGACTTCAAAGATTCAAGACATCCATAGTAAGCTGGAGAAACTTGGTGACGAAAAGAAGGCCGTGGCAGAGGTAAGGGTTCAGCCTTCTCTGTTTTACCTTGTGCGATTTTGGATGTTTAAAGCTTGAGAGGAGGGCTGCCTGAAGCCATGGCTGATTGTTGTTTTGCTTGTTTTTCACATGCCTTATTTTCAATGGGGTTAATACCACCAAAAACCCCAAACCGGTACACTTGTAATAAATTTACCCCAAGCTAATTTTTTGACCACCAAAATCCCCAAACTGGTATATTTGTGGTAAATTTACCCTTCATTAGTTTCCGTTAAATTGGATTAATACCACAAAAAACTATAAACTGGTAAACCTGTGACAAACGGAGGGTAAAACCCCAGACTGGTACACCCGTCAAACTACCACGTGTAATCTAACATAGTAATTTGACGGTAAAATTTAATAAAAACTAAAGGAGGGTAAATTTGTCACATGTGTACCGGTTTAGAGTTTTTGGTGGCGAAAAAATTAGTTTGAGGTAAATTTGTCACAAATGTACCAGTTTAGGGTTTTTCATAGTATTAACCATTTTCAATATTACAATCAGATGCGATAGTTTTCACTAGGGCATAATAGTAACAGATGTCGCTCCTTGTGGTTGCAGCTTAATCAAACTCTTATCAAGAACCAAGATATGATGCGGAGAAAGGTTAAGGAAATTGAAGAGAGGTATGTTTACTTGCTGATTTCTCTAGACAAATCTAAATAGCAATATCTGTCAACTCTGAAACACACCGAACATCTTGTTTGTATATGCTCCATCTGTAATTTTGTTTTCCTCTGAAGTTTTTAGTGCTATTGCTTTAGAGGTTGAACTTTATCACGGAAATCAATGTTGAATACTTCATGGTCGTGGTTCAATTTTGAAGTACTTTTTTCCACACTCGTGAAATTTGAATATTATTCTGTGATGGTTCGGGACTCAAACTTTAATTGATACAGTTCAGCATTGAAATTTTACCAATTCCAATTGAAGTTCAATTGGTTGTTCATACTGTGTCGTGTTGACATTTCAACTTCCACATAATAGAAAATAAAAAGGAAAAGAAGATACACTTGGTAGCCTTCAAACTTATTTGAGCTTCACATTCATGCCAAGCAATGTAGGTATAGATGCCTTTTTAGTACCTTAATATGCATAGAACATTTTCTTTATAGAGGATATATATACAGCCTTTTGAACTATACTCGTCTTGTCCATCTTCATTCAAGTTATGTGAGCTAATCTTCCCATCATTATCGATTGTACCGACACCTCCACAGTAGATGAGTCCAGTCAATTTAAAGCTGTCAAGGGAACTTAGTCTTCCCTTCTGATTTGACATGAATGAAGGACACATGTGCTTCTGTGCATCTGCAGGAAAGCTCTCTCACTGAAGTCGAAGGATGAACTAATACTGGACTTGGAAGAACAGGTATATCTTTTGAACCTTAATACTGTGATAATTTGTAGGGTTTTGATATAATATTGTGACAACTCTACGTGCGCACGCGCGTGTAGTGTGTTGATAGTAATATGTCCCTTGTCATCCTTCACAGATGAGAGACCTTAAGGTGTATATTGGAGCCCAGAAAACACTTGATAAGATGAACGATAAAGATGGCGTCAAAGGAGGAACCCTGTTACCAGTGCCTATGGAGCAGTCAACCCCAGCCAGAAAGAGCAAGAAGCCCAGTCGAAGACGGAAATAAGCTCACTTTGTGTGCAGATACTTGACAAGTAAACGAGAATGACGTGAATATAGTTACTTTTTTTTTTCATTGTATTGACATTCGTCGCGGCATTTGCGGATGAGGGGGTGCTGAGGGGTATTTCACCGCCCAGCCTTCTGTAGAACCTCTCTACTTAGTGGGGTTGTGAATGGTGCAATTCCCCGACTTTCCCCAGTCCTCTTCGATTGAGTCTGAATGTTAGGCACTTAATAACATTGCAAATATATACTTGGCCAAATGATGAAAATTAAAGAAAGATCATTCTCAGTTTAGTTGTTATAGTTCCACCCATCAAACAAAGCATTCTTGAAAGTAATACTTAAACTATGTGACAAATTTAGCATACATTTATATTCATTCTTTTCGGAACAAAATAATAAGTTTATACACCAACCGGAGATGAAACGGAAATTTTGATTCTGCCAATGGCTCTCAGTTTTTTGATTTGGTATTGCTTCTTCTTTTTCATGATTAAACACTTCCATTGACATTTTGTTGAGTTTTGACTTATTATACCTCTTATAAATACTTATTTTACCAAATTGCCTCCCAATGGTATTGGCCAATCTCCTTTTATAATTCTTTGCTACAAGATTTCGAATTAATGATTTGACTTTCATAGAAATTGCTATATAACTGATTCATATTTTGACTATCTAAAAATATATGAATGATTTTGGAAAGAGTATAAATAATTAACGCTAGGGGTACGAAGAAATTTTTTTTATGAGACTATTTGGTACATCAACAACTTCAGCCATGAAAAATGGGTGCTGCAGCTTTTATAAGGTGTTCAACGAACATTTTGCAATTATAGCACCTTTAAGATTACGACAGCTTTTTGGAAATTGCTTCACCCAATTTTGAAGTGTTGGAGCTGTAATCGACACCTATTTTTAGTCGACGGATTCAGCAATATTGGCAATTTAGGCAGTTTTTTAATTAAAAAATATGAATAAATGAACGCAAAATGAAAAATGCAAAAAAATAATAACCCAAGGACGTCAATTCATCGACTAATTGAGAAGGATATTCATTCAGTGCGCTGGGCTCGATCCAATTCGTCCAAGCCAAGCCCCGTGGCCCATGAAAATTTATTGAGTCCAACTTGCATTACTCGCACCCACAAAAGCCCAGAAACCAGACCATGTCTCGTACCAGGCCCATCAATTCCGTTCCTCACTATATTGCCCATTAATTTCGGCAGTGAAGGTTCGAAGCAAATCGTTCGTGTTTGAAGTTTCATCGCCGGCGCGCACTCTCGCCGGGCGACACTTCTCAGATCCTCCTCGTGCAAGCTTGACCAGTAATCGCAACCGAGAGCTCCTCCTTGACAAGGTAATTTCGCATTCCATTCCCCTCTTTCTTGCCCTGTTTTGGAAAGATGCGTGATTGAACCACCTTCATGTAACTCGTGAAGATCACTGATGATCTAGGCTGTAATTTGATGATTTGTAACGGTTTTGTGGTTCTGACACTGATTTCGGGCGAAAATGTAACTTCGATTTCAGGACCAGACTCAATCCCTTCGGTGCACATAGACCGTTGGATGAAATGTCTCTAAGATACGTTATTCCTGATCAAGTTTCTTCTGAAGAAATTTTAGCATAGATTACTTGCTACCAGTTAGTCAGTTAACATTCATATTCGATCCTTGACGTCCTGTGACGTCTCTGTGGTGTTCGTGGTCAATCTCTTGAGACATTTCTCCATTTCGTGTTATGAATATCCATAGATTTAACGTATTAATCTACGAATGAGCTGGTTAGATTCTCAGTTTACTTTGAAGAGGACGACGGGCTGAAAAAGGAAAATATAATAATAAAAAATGACGAAAGATGTAAGAAAAGAGGAAAAACGGATAAATAATAATAAGAATAATAAGATGGGGTTAGCGTGGGCTTAGATACACTAAGATCATGAATTATGGTTATCGGAATTTCTTTCCATATATGCGTTCATTCCACTTCTGTCTCATTAATTCAAACTTTGTAACCATAAGCATTGAGACCGAGCTTTTAGCTTGCGAACTAAAGTTGGATATCTGCCTCCAGCTTGAATACACAACGCCTTCTAAGCAACACCCTAATCTCATGTTCTTCTTTTTTACACTTTCAAATCAGCCTAAATGAACACAACAAAACAAATTATCACCGCAAGACTTGAGGAGAAGTCGAATAGGATGCTTATTGTACCACTCAAGGCATACTGTACTGAACTATATGTCCAGAGGAAGTACCCCCGAGGCTGGAAAATCTACCCTCTGCAGCATCCCTCAAAAACTTGAATCGAGTCCGGCGAAGGAAAACCGGCTCCACATTTTAATGCTCAATGTTCCACAGGAAGAGACATGGCCTGCACTACCTTTGGGGTTGATCTGAACTGGTTGCGCCGGAGGTCATGCTAGGCCCAGTTCCATCTTCAACAGGAGGAGAAGTACCCCACTCTCCTTCAGATTCCAATGGCTCAAGCACATAGACGCTGCCATCGGTAAGCCCTAGTGCAAACTGGTTAGGTTCAGATGGATGTGCTGCAATGACTAGCGGGTAGGCTCTCGAGCTGCCAAATCCATCAGTGAGGGATGAATAACTTGCGAGACTATTGGAACTTCGCGAATGAGACTTGCCATTTTCATAGAGGAATGAGGTTAACTGAGCAGCAATAACCAACTTACCTGGGGTTTGAAGGGATATAAGCGGCAGGATTTATACGGCATCTCAATCTGAGTTCAGAAGCAGTAAGAACACCGATGCTTCCGTCTTTAAAGCTCAAATATATTGATTGGCCATTGCATGAATATGTAGCATCTGTGATTGGACCGCTAGCTTCTCGAGTAACCCACTAGTTGCGATGAACAACGAATCAAAAAGAGTACTTTTGGCACTAAGCAACTCATACTACCTAATATTTTGTTATTTTTATGCAATCAGGATGAGATAAGAGATTGGTTTGTGCACAACAACAAAAATCTTCAATACCTGCTTGTGGCATTTTAGTTTAGGAGCTTCATATATGGCGATCTGTGTTTCATGAACCACCAGCAGATGTATCTGATCCACGTGAAATTGAACACGAGTAATAGCAAGAGGAGCTGTGCTTCGCCTAGTCAGCATCTGCTGAAACTTACTAGGCGGCTCCTCCTCCTCCCATCCCTCAGTGCTCCAAACACACAACTGCAGTGATGAAAGACAACCATCAAAGGGGACATCAACATTGATGCATAAATGAAAGAATAAAATTCTACGTTTGTGTTTGTATTTCAGAATCACACCGATCGTCTATTGTAAGCAACAACAGGACATCATAGCTTCTTTTTTCGTAGTTAATGGGATGGGATTAATTTGTCAACACAGAAGATGAAGTTTTCTGGAAGGATTTATTCTGCCGGTAAAGGATGCCTTCATGACCTGACGTATGCTGAGGACATAAGCATCAATGATTCAATATATCCAGAGTGAACATCAACCCTTTTTTTTGGAGCACTTTAAACTACATTGCTCTCTCTGCCCAAAACTTAGGCATGTTTACTTGGAAAGTAATATGCAGCAGTGATCTGGTACCTGAGAGTCAGCATCAGAAGACACGAGAACATTTAGGACATTAGAGAAGGCAAGGCCTGTTATTCTTTTCTGATGTCCTCTTAGTATTACCTTGACCTGAGAAAGTGAAACAGTCAATAACCATTAACTTTGTTGCGGATAACAAGGTTAACTTTTACCGACAATGAAAACAGGTCTCACCTGACGAGATACTATATCGTAGATTTGAATAGAGGAGTCCTCCATCCCCATTGCAATAATGAAACTGTTTCCAGGAAGGAATGCCAGAAATGTTGCTGCTTGTCGTGCGCGAATAAATGTTGTTATTGTCTGGATATCAACAGGCAAGATAGTATTAACAACTTTATAAGTAAGAGTGGCACATATGTGCCAAGAGGCACTTGCCTCAATTGCATGCAAGTTCGACCATTAGATCTCTAGATGGGTGAAAAAAGGCTCTCGCTTTCTTTTCTTTAGTCAGTAAGAGCCTAAATAGCACCAACGTTGACACGCAACACGTTGACAAGTCAATTCTTAAAAAATAAAGAATTCCGACACGTTGGGACATGTTGTATGTTAAATATATATATTTTACATATATACATGATAAATTATCATTCTTTTGGCTTTATTTTTCTTCAAATCGAAGTTATGCAATGTGATTCAATTATTCTTTTTCGAAAAGAAGAAAAAAATTCAACAGATAATATACTAAAGGAGAAAGTGCGGCCCCAGCGTCACGCGCATGGTGCGAAATCTACTTTGGTAAAGAGAGACCTGAAGCGAAGGGAAGTTTTTTTTTTTTGAACCCCCCGGAGGTTCGGAGTCAGGCGCGGGCAATCAGCTCCGGTAAGGGGAGGAGAGAGAGGGAGAGACACCTGGGTGCGGTGGTGGAGTGTATAAAGGAGAGAGAGAAGACGCAACAGCGAAAAAGAAAGGCCAGAAAAGCTAGAATGGAAGAAAGAATGTGACTCTCTGTATTCCTAACAAAGCAACCTCCCACACCTCTCTCTCTCTCTCTCTCTCTCTCTCTCTCTCTCTCTCTCTCTCTCTCTCTCTCTCCTCTTCCTCCATCTTCATCTCCTCCTCCTCCTTCTCTCTCTGGATCCTCTTCAATCTCTGCTTCACTTAGCATATCAAATATTCATTGTTCTCCCTTTTCTTTTGTTTTTTTTATAGATTTATATTTTGACCCATAATTTATTGAAAATTTTTAAAATTGACCCGTGCGTGTCGGAATTCCGGACCCATAATTTATTGAAAACTTTTAAAATTGACCCGTTCGTGCCGGAATTCCGGACTCGCGTGTCGCTGGCGTCCGACACCTGTTGACCGCGTGTCGGTTTCCGACACCAACACAGCCGCCGTGCTTCCTAGGTAAGAGCATCACGATGCCATTGAAGATAGAGAAAAGCCCTTGTCTCACTTAACGAGTGAAAAAGCGGTGGTGTGGTACCTGAGAGTTAGAGCCAGAAGACACGAGAACAGTTAAGGGAGTTGAGAGGTCAAAGCCTATGACTATTCTCTTATGTCCTTTTAGTTTTGTCTGGACCTGAGAAAGTGAAACAGACAATATCCATAACTTTGTAGCAGATAATAACAAGGTTATCTTTCAACGACAATGAAAACAGGTCTCACCTCATCATCATGAACATCGTAAACTTGAATAGAGGAGTCCTCCATTCCTATTGCAATAATGCCATTATTTGGTGGTGGTGGGGGCATAAATTTTGTCATCGTCTGGATATCACCAGGATAGTATTAACAACTTTATAAGTAAAAGTAGGACAAATGTGCCAAGAGGCACTTGTCTCAATGGCATCTCCCTTCTTTGGAAAGAGAGAGAGGAAGAGCAAGTTCGACCATTAGATTTCTAGATGGGTGAAAAAGGCTCTTGCCTTCTTTTCTTTAATCAGTAAGAGCAAAAAGATTCCGTTACAGATGGAGAAAAACCCTTGTCTCACTTAGCAAGTAAAAAAGGGCATATGCTGCACTTTGGACTCTACCAAATAATCCACATGAAAATCAGAACAATTGATTTTATGGAACTCCTAACAATAGAGTTCAATACTTTTTACACTTGATAGAATCAATTAATTTTAGGTCCCATAAAAATGTGAAAAGGAAATAGTACATGCATATTCAACAGAAAGGGGTAATTCATCATCTCGTGCCTTGTGGATAGTGCTACAAAAAATTGAAAAGAAGATGTAAACATGCTTTGGGAAAATATTCACCTTAAAAGTCATCATATTGAACAAAGAGATCTTCCCCCCTGATACTGATATTAGATAAGAATCATTCTTTGACAGTGCAAAGCACGGAACTGCATCTTCAGGATTTGTATCGCTTGTGTCATTGGTCATCAAATTCCCGCCATAAGGTTGCCATAACTGTGGTACTACACTAGTTGTAGCCTGGAAAGAAGAATTAATGTAGTTTTTTTTTGGAAGCCGAATTAATGTAGTTGAGAATGCGCTAAACCTTGAAATACCTTGCCAATTTCATGAAAAGAAAGATTCCTTACCCTGCCTGTTAAGTTCTGATCATTTCTTGCCCATTTCCAGAGCTTGTGTACAGCATTCGATGATAAAGCCAGAATGGCATGACCTGAGTTTGTATAGATTAATCTCGAGACCTGCTTCATTTTATCAGCTTCAGTGTTGACAGTTAAATGTAATACCCAAAGTGAAAAAGAAAGAGCCCAAGTTACTAGGCACTAAATGATAGATGCAGAAATTGATGCAAAGAGACACTCGGTGACACGCACAGCTCCGCCTGCATATTTATCCAAGAGTATCTGTGTGCATAGGCATATTTACATACTGTGCCTTTACATATGAACAGAGCATATGATACACATGTCGTCAAAACCCAGTTGAAACAGTTACCAAAAAAATTCTGGCAAAAAGTAGAACCTTGACTTAAATCGTCTATCTGTATCACTATAGAACTAAGAGAACTCTGTGCGGTCTACGTGCAAAAATACAGTGTCTTCTGGGAATACCTATCCTTTTGCATCTAGCGTTTGTGTAATTAGATTCAGCAGGTAAATTTCCACTCGAAGTTAAAGTATCTGAATTCACAAGCTTAGCATTCCCGAACGAGCATCAAAGTGTTGCACAATGATATACTTTGCCTGCCATGTACAAAGCCAAATTCATCTCGTGAAGAATCCGTGCCTTTTACCACATGCAACTGCCATGAGAGTCCACAGAACAATCCATCTCATTGGATTCCAAGCAAAGGCTAAAAAAGTCTCGTTATGCAAATATACCGCTACACTCTAAATCAGGCAGCATCCATCTCGCTATTCATCCTTATCATAAAACTCATAACATCCACAACCAACAAAACTCAAGCACCATTGCCACTCCATAATCACAGATTTATTAATGTTGATCATGTCCTTTCCTATTTGTATGGTTGAAACAATCGGTTAACGATGAAAGGCCAAATGAAGAGATGACATAAGTCCTCCAAGTGTTGAGATTTAAAAGATCATTCACTGGACCACATGCGAAAGAAACTAATGAAGCAAATGCATTAAATGCGACCCCTATTCAAATTTGTGCAATCCAGTAGAAACATGATACGCATGGGCCCAATTCCCTTTTTTTTTGTTTTTTTTTTTTGGTCGAATGGCCTAATTCCCAAGCACTAACTTTTACTCCATATCCATAGAATTCGAATTTTTTTTGTCTAAAAAAAAAATCAACTCTAACTTTGTACCCAAATCTGGGCCCCCGTTATCCGTTCAATATTGCCGTTAAAATCTGATGTGTCAAAATTCCACACGAATATTTCTCTCTTTCTCCATTGATGACGTGGAATTTCGGCTCAATTAAATAATTTATGTTAAAAAAAACCTTCTTTTTTTCGATCTCCTTATTTTCGTCTTCTTCTTCGTCTTTCCTCGCAACCTCAATGAAGGGAGGTGCTTGAGCTAAAATCTGAGTCGCTCGACCTCGGATTTGACTCGCATAGTCTCATATGTGAGTCGCATGACCTCTCAAATACGAGGTTGCGCACCTGAATCGCGAGTGGCAAACTCCATTAATGGAGGTCAACCATAGGGCTCAGAGTGAAGGAAACGATCTGCGCCCTCGCGGTCGCGGTGGATTTAGGGAAAGCTTTGGGCTCGTTTTGTCATCGTCTGGCCAGGAAACGATCTTCCATTGATGTGGCATTGTTTGCAGTGATTCTTTGCTGAATTGAATAGATATGAGTATGGGTTGCATTTGTTCTGAGCTCAAGCACCTCCCTTCACAGAGGTTGGGAGAAAAGACGAAGAAGAAAACGAAAATAAGAAGATAGAAAAAAAATAAATTTTTTTAAAGAAATTATTTAATTGAGCCGAAATTTCACGTCATCAACGCATAAAGAGAGAAATATACACGTGGAACTAACACATCAGATTTTAACGGCAATATTGGATGGATAAAAAAGGGGGGCCAGATTTGGGTATAAAGTAAGAATTGATAATTTTTATGAGACAAAAAAAAAAATTCAGACAAGATTTGGATATAGGGCAAAAGTTTAAGTTTGTGCTTTTGAAAAGAATTGGGTCCACATAAATGAGGAAAAGAAATGCTGCATAAGAACATCCTAATTTGGCAATCATTTGTACCGTCGTAGCTGTTGAGTCATCAGGTAGCCTCATGGAGCAGCATTGTGATGGTTCATTGATTTCTGTCAGTTTCCAAATTTGCCATTTGTCTCCTGACTCGTTAGCAATTCTGGGCTTCACATCGGCCATGCCCTCATTGTTCTGTAGAGCTCAAAAAGAGAGGATATCATTAAAAGATGTCCAATGAACATGCACGTACGAGTGCAATTACTACATCATTCAAGCAAAACACGGTAAGCAACAAAAAAAGCTCCTTAAAAACATTTGACTACCTAAGGCAGTAACGATACCACTTACCATACCAACCATTGCTGCCACTGGAGCACATCTATCACCCAGGCTTGCCCCAACAGTAGCATTACCAGAACCAAGTGTTGCAGTTGCCGGTAGCTGCAGCTGCATAAGATTCAAGACATGTAGCAAGCTCATCTCTATGAAGTCAGTGTACCCTTGAAAAAGCTTACCTTCATAAGAGGTCCAGGAGTGACTCTAGAAGCATCAAAAGGCCGATTGTCCACTGTCCGTAGCAGCCTAATCCCATCAGCATTTGCTAAAATTTTGATAGTATCGTCGCTTGTTGAGACAGCTAATAGAATTCCTTCCTTGTTAAATCTAATACAAGGGAAAGCCTGCAAATTTAAGGAGCGAGTTTAATAGAAAGGTTCGGTAAATTCAGTCAGAATAAATTAACAACCATGAATTACCGGCAATCCACCCTCAGCATCGGTACTTGTCAGCAGATTATTATTGTCCATATGCCAAAATTTGACCATGAACTCGTCACCAGCAGCCAAAAATCCGTTTTTGGTGGTATCAAACTGCACAACCCCACCAGATCTCTTTCCAAGTCCATGATACGTACGGTTGACAGCCCCTTCACTTTCATTCCATTCAACCAAGTATGACTCTCCTTCTTTATTGGTCCCAGATGAGAACAACCTATAGCCAAATAAAATCGCTAAATTAGGTTATTTCGGTCAAAAAGAATGACACAGTATGAAATCAAGCTTGAAATGCAATGCTGATGGTCTGAACCTTGTTCCATCGGCGCTGTATGCGATCTTGGTAGAAGAGGGACCCGGTGCATCATAGTCAACTATTGACACCTTGTTGTCATAGAGCCAAGCCTTAATTTTCCCATCTGCTGATGTTGAGAAGATGAACTACACGAAAAAAATTGTATAACCCATTTCAATAACATGCCAGGATAGAGCCCATCCACTTAAAACTCTAATTATGATAACATAGCATCCTAGAATGATGGGTTATCATAAAATCTCTTTGTAATAGAGTGCACACAACCATAATTGTTTAAAAAATTTAAAACGAAGAAAATAACATCGCCAATTGCCGCTCCACTCACACACAGTAAACAGCCTTCTATTATAAATTTAATTAATCATAACTGGAGGAGACATCTAAGGGAGAACAAATGATGGAAGCAGAAGAATTTTCCTTCTGAACACATAATTAAGCAGAAAGTTTATTATTGTGAAGACCTTTATGCAGTTGTTAATGCCTAATAGCATTGCCCAAAAGAATGAAATTTGCAGGTTGATCTTTAGACCATGTCATCATTTTTAAGAAGCACATTCTAATCAAGACAGTTTAAAAGTGGGAAGACTTGAAAACCCTTGAAATGAACAAGGTCCATTAAAACACAGATTCACACTTCTCATACAAATTGAACCAAAATTTTTCACCTAACCAAGTTTTAGCAGACAGAAGTCCAGTGAATAGTCAAGGGTACATGCCGATTGGTCGTGCTTTCAGTGTGTCCTTGTTAGTACACAAAATAACCAGGTACCTGAACATTTTCTTTGCGGTGTAGACATATGGAATATACAGGTGCTTCATGACCCTCGAAACTCCGTTGCATAGCCCCAGTCACTGTATCCCATACCTGCATAATTACTAGCTTGGTTAAAAGGAATCAAACAGCACAACACTATAACACTGAGGAAAACAATCAAAATATACCTTGATCGACCTGTCCTCTCCTGAGGTCACAACACATAACTGTTCGTTTAAATATGAAAAGGCAAGATCATTAACACTTCCAACATGAGCCTCAATCTGTATCAGACAATAGGTTAGAGTCAAAATCAAGTCGAACTCTCATTTAGGTGGCAATTGTCAGCAGAACAAAGAAGAATAATTTTTCTCTCCATGTTTAGCAACAAACCTCAAGGTGGTTCCTTATGTCATCACCACCATGATATGAGTATATATGCACCATTTGTTTGGAATAAGCAACCCCTAAGGAGAACACCACAAATCATCAGTAATAGCAGCATATGAGCACTTCTTCCCGAAAATATTGCAATGAAGTCTGGTTCTCGGCGCTTTAGTTTTTTCATCAATTTGCAACTATGTGATGCCTAATTTACTAGTTGATATACAAGTAGAGGTGACATCTGCCCATACCAAAAAACTTTCCATCAGCACTCCACATTACACGGTTAACCGATGCTGTATAATCATTGGCCAGAGAAGCCTACAAACAATCAAAACCCATAATCACATTGCCAAAAACAAGATACTGTGATTTATTAAGAATTGAACTTCTATACCTGCAGCGCCATTGAACATTTTCCCAGATCCCAAACCTTGAATTTTCTCAAAGCAATCCTTGCATGGCTGCCTACTTCCCATACCATGACATCGCCCATATTTGTTCCCACTAAAAATTATTGAAGCAGAAAATTTGAAGAATCAGATCCCATGATTTCAAATAGCTGAAGCTACTGTCAAAAGGACAACAAAAAGCAATCTTCCATGAACCAAAGCATAAACTTATGGCCTACAACAGGAACAAGTATCTCCAACTGAAGAAAAGCACAAAACGTGTTCTTCATAGAGTAAGAAAGATGTGCTAACCAAGCAGCAGAATTTGTTGCACTGGATGGAAATCCATACTCTTAACAGGTGAATCTTGACTTAGGGTAATGACTACATTTCTGGGCAAGTCATCTGAAGAATTCTGACAGAGGCTCTGGCAGTTGTATGTGACAGGCAGAATGTTTACCGGTAAATTATTTACCTAATAGAAGGCCATAAAGATTACAAAACCAGTGAGTCCTTTTGAAAATTAATCAAAACCATGGCAATCAAAAGATGCAAAATTTATATAAGAGCCCCTCTTTTACTAGCATGCATGAGCACAATGCATGCATGACGGGAGAAGATGTAATTCACACCTACCCAGTTTGCGCTCCTTATTAATGCTGCCAATATTTGACACAGACCATTTACACAACAATACCAAACACAAAAAACACAGACACAGCCCAATATGACACATCACAATATGTTTAACCAGTTTGTTGACTAGATATTTACATGTTTTTCGTCTAATTCAATGGTTTGACATGTCTAATAGAGTCATGATGAATTGACACAATTTCACAAACACAATTAAGACAAGCAGACACGAATTGACAACCATAGCCCTTTTGCTCCTTTCTCTCTCCATCAGACTTTCTTGTAATCCTTCCCATCCTCAATTATTTCATTAGGTTATCATCTAGTTGAGGGTATTTAGAAACCTCAAAACTAAAAGTTTCTCCTGAAGATTCTCAATGCATGATCATATGCCGCAATAGCACCAAAGTTAGAGCACTTTCGGAATGGCATGCACAGAAAGATAATTAAGAAAGAGAAATACAAAAGACGGGGCGATGTATTCTAGCTTCACTTTACAATTCAGGAAAACTGAAAATCTCTACTTACATGAACATAAGACTTAAAATAGCAAGCAATACATGTAACAAGTTTGAGAAGATCTAGTTACGAATGTTGAGGAAAGCATTCCATATATAACAGATAATTGATCAACCAGTAAAATACTTATTTTTGTAGATGGAACATCCGTTAATAACTAAAGAACGATAAAGAAAAAGCAAGATGAAATAAGTACTTCATCTGATGTTCCAAAAGGTCTTGGTCTCTTCAAAACATGTTCAGAATCTGCTGTTTGGTAGACCATGGCTGAGTTGTTGGCAGGAGAAGTCCTGGGACGCTTTAAGAGAACTGTATTGCAAAACAAAATGTAAATAGAATGCAAAACTAACAGTTTGAACTTGTGGAAACTACAAAATCAATTTTCACAGCTTTTCCACGAGGTGTTATAGAAAGGTCCGGGAGACATTCAAGCCAATCAGGAAGAGTAAGTTTCTTAAGAAAGGTTAGTTGGGAAAGATTCGGCAATTGCGGGATCTGGCAGGTAATACCTAAAGCAAGTACGCGAGAGCGCAGTTCTGACAGTTTTTGAAGCTTGTCTAAATCAAGATTGTTTGGCGAAACCAGTTCACCTGGTCCTTCCGGATTTTTTCCTCCTGAAGCTTTCAACTCTTGGAGTTCTGCCAATATTTCCCGATCATCAAGTAATTCTGTCATGGGAGTTCCACTAATGTCCAACATCCTCAAATTCCGCATATTCTTCATGCTTTCAGGCAATTCCATAATCCCTGTAGATTTTAAATGCAGCTCGGTCAATAATGCCAACTTTCCGATGGAGACTGGGATTTCTATCAACGAGTGACATCCCGATAATAATAAGCACTGCAAAGACACGAGGGAGCCTATGGTGTCCGGAAGTTGAGCAAGTTTACTGCATCCCCTTAGGTCAAGGAGAATCAGAGATGTTAGATGGCCTATGGAGTTTGATATGTGGGCTAATTGTGCACAACAAGAGGCATCAAGAGTCTTGAGCTTCTTGAGAGAACCAATGGACTCGGGTAATTCTTCAAATGCTGTAGATTCAAAATGTAGCTTAGTCAATGATTCTAACTTTCCGATCGAGTCTGGGATTTTTCTCAGCGAGTGGCATTTTGATAATGATAAGCGCTGCAAAGACACGAGGGAGCCTATGGTGTCCGGAAGTTGAGCAAGTTTACTGCATCCCCTTAGATCAAGGAGAGAGAGAGATGTTAGATTGCCTATGGAGCTTGATATGTGGGCTAATGATACACAATAAGAGGCATCAAGAGTCTTGAGCTTCTTGAGAGAACCAATGAACTCAGGTAATTCTTCAATTGCTGTAGATTCTAAATGTAGCTCAGTCAATGATTCTAACTTTCCGATCGAGTCTGGGATTTTTCTCAGCGAGTGGCATTTTGATAATGATAAGCTCCGCAAAGACACGAGGCAGCCTATGGTGTCCGGAAGTTGAGCAAGTTTACTGCATCCCCTTAGATCAAGGAGAGAGAGAGATGTTAGATTGCCTATGGAGCTTGATATGTGGGCTAATGATACACAATAAGAGGCATCAAGAGTCTTGAGCTTTTTGAGAGAACCAATGAACTCAGGTAATTCTTCAATTGCTGTAGATTCTAAATGTAGCTCAGTCAATGATTCTAACTTTCCGATCGAGTCTGGGATTTTTCTCAGCGAGTGGCATTTTGATAATGATAAGCTCCGCAAAGACACGAGGGAGCCTATGGTGTCCGGAAGTTGAGCAAGTTTACTGCATCCCCTTAGGTCAAGGAGAGAGAGAGATGTTAGATTGCCTATGGAGCTTGATATGTGGGCTAATGATGCACAATAAGAGGCATCAAGAGTCTTGAGCTTTTTTAGAGAACCAATGGACTCGGGTAATTCTTCAAATGCTGTAGATTCTAAATGTAGCTCGGTCAATAATTCTAACTTTCCGATCGAGCCTGGGATTTTTCTCAGCGAGTGGCATTTTGATAATGATAAGCGCTGCAAAGACACGAGGGAGCCTATGGTGTCCGGAAGTTGAGCAAGTTTACTGCATCCCCTTAGATCAAGGAGAGAGAGAGATGTTAGATTGCCTATAGAGCTTGATATGTGGGCTAATGATACACAATAAGAGGCATCAAGAGTCTTGAGCTTCTTGAGAGAACCAATGAACTCAGGTAATTCTTCAATTGCTGTAGATTCTAAATGTAGCTCAGTCAATGATTCTAACTTTCCGATCGAGTCTGGGATTTTTCTCAGCGAGTGGCATTTTGATAATGATAAGCTCCGCAAAGACACGAGGGAGCCTATGGTGTCCGGAAGTTGAGCAAGTTTACTACATCCCCTTAGGTCAAGGAGAGAGAGAGATGTTAGATTGCCTATGGAGCTTGATATGTGGGCTAATGATGCACAATAAGAGGCATCAAGAGTCTTGAGCTTCTTTAAAGAACCAATTGATTCAGGTAATTCTTCAATTCCCGTCCTTAATAGGTCCAGCTGAGTTAACGACACAAGTGAGCCTAAGGATTCTGGAAGTTGAGCAAGTTGTTCACAATTTGAGGCATCTAGAGTCTCCAGCTTCATCAAACAACCTCTCGAAATAGGAATCTCTCGTATATTAGTGTCATTTATGAGAAGCTCCCTTAATTCTTCCATTCTACCTACTCCTAGCGGTAGCTCCTTCAGTTCCGAACACCCGTTGACATTCAAGGAGATGAGGGTCTTGATGTCTTGGATAGAAGGATGAATCTCTTCCAGATTGTCACAATATTCAAGAGTCAAAATCTCCAAGCTCTTGAAAGCGGACAAGTCGGGAGTTCTTCTCAAATCACAATTCTCGAGGTTGAGAACTTTGAGCTCGGTTGCCATCTGAAAGAAAGAAATGATACCTCCGTGAGATTGGATAAAAATACCCATGCTCCCTTGCTCCTTCACAGCTGTCTTATATAATTTTAATTGTTTCTTTTTAGTAGTGTTTTGGCTACACCAACATATAATTTTTTTTAAGCATATCATTGCAAAGAGAACTTTGGGATGTATAAGTGCTAACTACAATTATTAGCAAATAACATATTTAGGTTTTTGAAGTTATGGCGATGCTGTTATTTATTGATTAGAGATACGCAAATTTTATTATTAAACATAAATGGCTACTTTATTTATGAAAAAAAAAATTAAATGCTATATGTACAAGATATAAAAAAAATGTTATATTAAAAATATTTAAACGCCATTGGAAGGATAATTTAATGACTCATATAACATTACTACTTTGTAATTGTGTTGTACGATGACTTCAACAATGAACAATTATAATGAATAAATATTGTGTGCAACAAGTCAGAGAAGTTCACAAATTATTCCTTTACTCTAAAAGTAACAATAAATTTAGAATTTTAGCATGTATGTAAAACACAAGTCACCGTCAGTAAGTTTTTGTTTCTCCATCGAAGAAGATCCCTATAATATGACAACAATTGCTAAACACATTTTTGCATGGGGAGAAATTAACTAGAAGCCATAAAACCATTTAGATTAAAGTTAAGATAGGCATAGTATTGTATTTATATTATATATATTAATTAATATAGTTAAAAAAAGTTTGCTTTTAGTATGTATAATGGTAAGCATGACTAGTTGTTAAGATATTAAGGGGCAGAAGCTTCTGGCATATTTAAGTGTTTAAAATTCCTCTTATGCTTGGAGGAAAATCCATAATATGAGGAAGGATTTTCAAAAGAAAGAAAGGAAAACTTGGTGCAATTGGAGCCGTCGACAACATGTGATTATTTATAAGAGATATACCTTCTATAGGTCTTACCTTTAGTGGACCCCATCCTTTCCAGTCCTTCAAAATCTGATTCCACGATAGATCAAGCACGATTAATTTCTTTGGATGAAAGTTGGTCACTTCAAAATCCGAGGGACAATTATTCCATTTGAGCCATCTTAACTGAGGAAGCAAGTTCTGAAAATCTCCGGTGAGATTCGCATTGTTCACTTGAAAGAACCTCAAGTTGGTCAATTCTTTAAATTGTTCAGCTGTGTAGGCTGTGTAGCTTCCTCCCAAATCAAAATATCTGTGAAGACAAAGGGCCTCAATCTTACTTGTGCCCTGCAATTAGGAAACAGTGTAGATCATAGTATCGAATGATGGGATGAGACCAATTGTATGTAAGAAAAGATGTATCGATTTTAAATTTGATGTCATACTATTATGATGTAGGCTTCTCACCTTCGACATCATGACATGACAGGTTGTGTTTGCATATTATTTATCTAATCTATGTAAAAATGTGAAGCTCAAAAGGGGGTCCCCAAATTTCTTTCTTCCAATTATGCCCTTCACAATTTGCACCTTTCAAAATTACAATAAAAAGCCTCTCTTCATGCACACACTCTTCAAATACATCTATCAAATCTCATGCCCTTTATCTGGGAAACAATTTATATGTGAAACAACACAACTCTTACGGTTCGAATACATCTATCAAACTTGCCATCAAAACATGTATCAATACTAAAGAATTCCAATTGTAGAACCCCTCTTTTTCTTATGTACCTTGTTTGCAATTCTCCATAGCAAAATGAAAACGAGAATTCCATCCCAAGAAGTACGCACGTGTTTTACATTCCTTTCTTATCATGTATTTTTGCAATGAGTGTTTTTCATTGTATGTTAGATTGAAATTTTTACTTCTCTTTTTATTACTATATATGTTTGATGCTATCTTTTCATTTCGTGTTGATTTTGTTACAGAGAAATAGCAGTCATCTAAGTTTTTGATCAATTTGCCCATAGATTAATAAGATCTTGCTAATAGACAGATTGGACATGAAGATTAATTATATTATGTTAATATTACTTCTGTGTAAGCATATAGCTGTGAAGTTGTTTAGTTTTATTTCTAATTATCGTTCTTTTATAAATTTCTAAAAAAGTTGTGAGTGTAAAGTTATTTTATCACTCAAATGTAAACTTCAATGGTTCTCTATATATAAAAAAAAGGTCATGTATGTATCGTTAAAATATTCAACTTTCAAGTTTAATAAGTATTATGTTAAAAATGTTCGTTTTGATAATACTTCACCATTAAAATTTTTATAATTATGGGATTGAAGATGTATGTTTGTTAATATATGTTTTGTTGAAAATACATGGTTCTCAAATTAAATATTAAAGTATAGTTAAAAACATATCATTGCAAATATGTATTCTTATAGGAGTATAATGTAACGTTGTAAAAAAATCTATAATTTCACCTCTAAAAAAGAATTCTTGTATACACTTTTCCTGGAAATCTTGACTTGGGAATCAACTTTCACATATGTCTATGTATGCATAGATATCGTAATTACTATTCTTCCGTAAAATTGTCGAGATCATTAATATTTGTTGGCAAGTGTTCATTACTCCTCTAAACGAAGTCATTTAGTTTTCTGGTCTTTATTCTTGACCATACACTATATTTTGAATGATAACAATAAGATCTCAAAATAATATATTGCTAATATAATTTACTTCATCAAAATAGTACGGCAATTTTAGATAACTTAGATAGGTAGAGCTTCCATCCATACTCTCATTAACGAACACATCTATTCAAACTATTACATTTAAAGATGCATCACTTTTCAAATTTTTTTAATGGTTGGTTAGGCTCCATTTATTTTTGATACGGTTCGTTTGTTATTCTACTTAAATTTCTGTTATTTCTCGAATTCAAAACAGAAGTACCCATCGATTAGTGTCATTGACTTTATTATTGCATGAAAAGACATTTCTCTTCAAAAAATGACACTCTTCAAAAAATGACATTTAACAAATGGTACATTATTCATATATTTTGCTGAATAGATACCTCTCTTGGAAGTTACATCTTGGACCAGACACGGAAAATTACCAAAAAAGTCCTAAACCTTTTGCAGTTGTACCAATTCAGTCCTAAACCTTTTTTTTGGCCAATTCAGTCCTAAACCTTTTGTAAACCAGCCAATTCAGTCTTTTTGGCCGGCCGGCGTTGACGTGGCCGCCGGCCGACTGACTGCCGGCCGGCGTCCACGTGGCAATATTTTAATATTTTTATTATTATTTTTGAATTTTTTTTCCTTTTTTCTTTTTTTTTTCTTTTCCTTCTCCCCTCTGGCCTGTCCGGCCAGGGGGGAGGCTCGCCAGCGAGGGCCCAGCTCCGGCGAGGCGAGCTGGGCCCTCGCCGCCGCTGGGCAAGCTCGCCCAGCCAAGGCGAAGCTCCGCCCTCGCCCAGATCTGGCGAGCCTCGCCCAGCCATGGCAAGCTCGCCCAGCTCCGGCGAGGCGGAGTTCGCCTTGGCTGGGCGAGCGGCGGCGAGGGCCCAGCTCGCCTCGCCGGTGAGCCTCCCCCCTGGCCGGACAGGCCAGGGGGGAGAAGGAAAAGACAAAAAAAATGAAAAAAATTCGAAAATAATAAAAAAAATATTAAAATATTGCCACGTGGACGCCGGCCGGCGGCCCGTCAGCCGGCCGGCGGCCACGTTAGCGCCGACCGGCCAAAAGGACTGAATTGGCTAGTTTGCAAAAGGTTTAGAACTGAATTGGCAAAAAAAAAAAAGTTTAGAACTGAATTGGCACAACTGCAAAAGGTTTAGGACTTTTTTGGTAATTTTCCCGACCAGACACTCCTCTTTGCATTTTCAGTGGCATATTTGTAGATGACTTTGTTTAACGGTACATGTATTATACTTAGATCTTTTCTTTCTTTGCACTTAGTGGTATCAGTTAATATTATTTACTTCTTTTATGTTTACATTAACAGACACCTGTGTATTTTGAAAGGGTAAGTTTGAATAGACACGTTTCTTCGTATTTTTAATAGTAATTTAGAAGGTGTTTGTTTTTGAAATAGTATGCTTGTTATGTGATTTGCAATTCATCCTCTTTTTCCAATCAAATACATTGCATGACAGCTTGAAATTTCGAATGGACTCAATTTCACTTGTACAATAAAATTCTCTTACACAGAAATTCTTTCTTTTTTAAAGATGAAATACATATCATATGTCCTTGGAGCTATGCCATTACTCATAACTCAACAATTTTCTGGCTACCTAAAAAAATTGAGAAATGCCTCTAGCCACATGCAACGCACATGTAATCTTTGTTAGTAAAATTTAGACTTTTCATCCATCATGAAAAAACTTCCCATATTCATTCTCAAAATTGAATGACCTTCCACATTGTGTCCCCGTCGACACATTATGTGACTATATGTTAATATTCCTAAGTTACGTACATTTGTCTTTCCGCTTCTTTATTTTTATTTCTTAATAACACATACTTCTTTATGCAACTTCTTTTGCTTTTTTTTTTCTGGCTGATAACTTCTTTATATTGCGTCTTCTTCTTATATTGCATGGAAAAAATGCTTAGATTCTCTATTTTCCAAGTGTTGTGGATCCTAATAGTAGAAGTCTTGTGCTATGCACAAAATTTGAGACTTCGCATTTTCTACTGTAATGTAATATCTCGTAATTTTATAGGATTAATTAGAATGTAAGTATGTGATTAACTCAACCTGATTATAACACCTTTTGGGGAGTTCTAAAAAAAGAGAAAAAAGGAAAAAAGAACGCACGGATCGGAAGCAGAATGTGAGATGGCGAGTCGCATGAGTATGTTGGAGGGCATTTTTGCTTACTCGGTGATTATTTCATCAACCATTTGCCACGTGTCCAGTTTATTCTTCAAACCAATCAAGAGACATAAAATGAGAAGAATTAGAGAGATATGGTTCGGATTGATGCAGCATTTCATTCGAAATTTAGATTATAAGTGTGGCAGCAAATCAATCAAAGTGTGGCAGTTTAGATTGTAATTGTAAGTCGTTGACCACTTCTCTAATTTTTGCAGATTGGTTAACTTTGAGAACAATAGAGAAGATCGAGATCTTGATACTGGAGTTTGCAGCAGAAGCTAAATGTATTTTGAGTTTTAAAAAATGTAAGTAGAAAATTTCAGATTTTTTTCTAGTTACTAGATACTTACAGTGGTATTTTATCTTGAAAAAATGTGTATTTCTCTAATTGATTCTGTTACTTCCTTGACACATGCAACGACTAACTTGAATACTCTAAAATTCTGTTTTGTACAAAAATGAAGTATGTGATTGTATTGTATTGTTGAAACTAATCATAGTTTTGACTCTATTACTTTGAATCCATCATTTGGTTTGACTCAAAGTTGTTACTCGAAAGAGTAACACTTGTTTAAGAAAAATCTCTGATAAGCTGTAACACTTGCTAAGAAATAGCAACCTCTTACTATCTAATAACGTCAATGAAATGACACGAGGGAAATAATATTACTAGGTCCTCTGTTCACTAGAGCAAGCACTAAGTAGAGGACCAACATCGCTCTGACAGTAAAACATGGACTTAGGGAAATAAAAGAAGAGACACGCTTACCTTATTTCTCCTTAGCACTTCCATAACTTCCTTGGTGTCCCATAACCTGCTACGGTATTGAGGCTCTCTTTCGTTTTCCTTGCAGATGATATCTCTACCAAGATCTCTCAATTGATCATGCATTATGAGCTCATGATCGTCTCCAACCTTTATTAATGACATCGATCTCAATACTTCAATTCCCTCATTTGGAAAGAAGTCACAAGCGTCCCACATGTAGGATGCGATTCTCCCATCAGTGCCAATGAAAAAACAAGCAATATCCAAAAATATCTGTTGTTGTCCATACTCTAATGCATCATAGCTTATTTTTAGCTTTTCTTGCACTTTCTTGTGAGGGACCTTTCTTAATTTTTTTATCGTATCTCTCCATATGTTTGGCTTTTTATCGCGTAGAAATGAACCCAAAACCTCTAGGGATAAGGGAAGCCCTCCGGTGGTGGATACAACATCACGAGTGAGCACATCAAATTCACTTGGTGGAGCATCCTTTCTAAATGCATGTCTACTAAACAAAATCGAAGATATATCCTCATCCATTTCCTCAAGTTCATAGTTGTAGTCCACCTCGGCATTGTCAAGAATACTCTTGTTTCTGGTGGTAATAATGATTATACTTCCCAAAGAAAACCAATTGTGATTTCTAGCCAAAGCCATCAATTGATCATCATCATCCACATCGTCAAGAAGAATTAGGACTTTCTCACCTTTAAACTTGGATGAGATAAACCTAATCCCTTCATCCCTATTAGAAACTTGATTAGTATGCTTCAATATATCATGGATTAATTGATTTTGCAAGTATTCAGGGCCATTACGCTTATATGATTCCCTAATATCAGCAATGAAGCTACGATGCTCAAATTTGTTGGACAACTTGTTGTAGATGGTTTTAGCAAAAGTTGTCTTACCGATACCTCCCATCCCGTGGATGCCCACAAATAGGGTGGCACGAGAATTGTTATTGACAAATTCCATAACCTTCTTTATATGTCTATCGATTTCGACCAAATTCTCAGAAATAACCAACTCAAACTCTTTCTTCAACTCATTCAAGACTTTCCGGACGACCAATTTCACCAATTCTCCTTCATACCTGTTAAATGCGACAAGAGTTCAGATACCTGGAAATAGTAATTTTATATTGCCAATCTAATGAGAATACTCTAATCCATAAATCTGAGGATAAAAAAACTTTAAGAATCGTATTTGTCACACCTCCATATATAATCTTATATGCTAAGATTAAAAGTGGGAAATGGTGGTGGTTGCTTCAAGCATGCCGACATTCCATTTTTGCTATAGTATAATCTATTGAGCCAGAAGAAACTTGAGGGTATTGCTAATGAATATTGAATATTACATGAATCATGGATCTGACTTAAATTTCAAACTAATTGATTGTTAAAGTTATTAGGGATGATGTGGACGTGACATTGAAAACTTTCTACAGCATTTGAATAGCAAAAACCCAATAAGTCGGCCCAATACGAGAGTTTAGCCATCAATTAATAAATAGGTCATAACTTTTGACGCAAGAGGAATTTAGGTCCTAAAAGTCATTCAGAGTGCTATATTATGAACTACCTTAATACAATTGAGGAAATTTCTCTTTATTTGTGCAATTCTATGTGCTTGCAAGTTTCTACTCTTGTTGTGAATTTAGTATCATTCCAGATTCGTGTTCTTATCAATTTTCTTTGAGCCGTGGGATGATAACAGGTTGTATTTTATTTTCCTTTTAAGTATCTATATTCTTTGACTATAATTGATCTAATATTGATTTTACGGGGAAGTAGAAGAATGATTTTTCCCCAAAAGAAGAACATTACTTCAACTTATGCAGGTGTATGAGATAGAAATTATAGATCGAAGATAGGAAAATTCATTGAACATTATTAAGACAAATATATAATAAAGAAAATCTTTTTTTCCTTCTTTATATTTGTAATCATCATATATAACCAATGAAATATTTCATTTGTAATTTTTTAATAGCAATTAATTGACGACGTTAATGATTTAACAAATGTAACTTGAAGAATTATCGCTTTGACAATCAACAAGCAAGTTATACGATGTTATGAGCTTTAAAAAGGAACCACCAATAAGATGTACTATCAATCTCAAATAAATATGCAAATAGAAAAGTTTGTGATGGAGATTAATGTAGCTTACACTATAAACAGGATAAAAGACGAAGCACAATGCTACAAAATCTATGGACATAAGAGTAATAACTCAATTAAAAAAATCTTATATCATTCAAGCGAATGGGATCATAACAATAAAATCTACAATTAGATTGGTCAATATCATTATAGTAATTCTTCAAAAGAATAACTTATGGAACTCATGCATCGCAGGATCTTACTGCTAGCAACATCTTAGTGCTTTTCCTTTACTAAAAAAACCTAGAAGAAAGAAAATGGAGCAGGTAGTATTCAGAACAACCAGTAAATATCCACACAAACTCAAAGAAAGTAGAGAATGTTTTGGTGAAAACTTTTACCCATCCGCGTTGAATCCTTTCAAGGAACTGACTTCGATGAGTGCTTGCTTCCACTTCTCCAAAATCATTGGGTCAAAGCCCCTCTTGCGCAAACGGCTTTCACGCTCCTGAAATGTCTTTCCAAAACTCCCGATTTGATGCCGCACGTGAGCTACTTCCACTTTGTAGAATATGGGCAACACTATATGCCCCGTGCTATTATTTTTGCACTCCATTATTTGAACCAGTTCATCTAGGCACCAACTGCTCTCACCATAATTCACAGAAAGAATGGGGATCAAGATCTTACTGTTCTTAATGGCTGCCAAAAGATCTGGTCTGATCTTCTCGCCTTGGCGGAGCTCGTTATCGTCTTTGAAAGCATGAATTCCGGCATCGATGAGCCCATTGTAGAGGTGATCGATGAATCCTTTTCGAGTATCTAGTCCTCTAAAACTCAAGAACACCTCATAGTGATTTCTAGATGGTGGGGTCAACGAACTAGATCCACTGGAATCAGCTTCCGTTGTCACAGTTGATGAACCAGATGCGCCAGAACCAGCATCTTTTGCATTTCCATTCACGCCAACTTTCTTCTTATTGAGAAATTTGAACGCGAGCACGGAGAGAAGGATGGGTGCCACGAGCACGGCAAAAGAATGCCCAAAAATGGGACGATGCATCTCGTCTTTGCTCCGACTCTGCCCTTGATTTTTGCTTTCAAGCCTGCCGGAGAAGAAAACCAGAGTGCCTCTCAGGAAACACGAAATGCCTCGCTGTTGCCCATTGTCTCTTTATTGGTTTGAATTACATAATCGAACCAGCTGGCAACCAGAATCGCAACCAATAATTCAAGCTTGTCAGGCTAGATATAAATTAGTAATTCATTGACCGGGAACACTGTCCAAGCGCTTACGGTCGTTGTCTTCGTGCGTGATAATTTCAATACACCAGAAAATCATTTTGATTTTTAAATAAGTTTTCGAATTGGAATCTACTCGAATGCAATGACAAACATAACTTGCTCCAGTTTTGGCTCATGCGCTATTTTTATTAATATGATTCTGACCTAAAAGATTATATCTCTCTCAAATTAATAATAATAATCTTGATCCTTACCAAAAAAAAAATAATAATAATCTTGATGATGATGATGGTGATGATGATACTTCTTTTCTCTGATCTCTCTTCTTTTGAAGTTCGAAACAGAAAAATATCACACGAAATCATAACTATGCCCACCGTTACATCAATAATTCAAACTTTTTTTTGGTAAACTTGTACCGGTGTGACAAAAATATCCTCTGTTTACCATAAAAAATCCTAAACTTTGCGCAGTGTAGACCAATATCCGATATTTGTTCTACTGTATAAATTTGTGGGTTTTGGTTACATGTGGGTTATTGTTGTAACAGTGGACATGATTTAAGATTTTGGTAACACAAAAAAAAGTTTGAAGTGTTGGTATCACAACGACCATAGTTTAGAGTTTAATGGTACGAACCTGGGTCAAAGACTTGAAATAAGGGAAAATTACTAAAATAGTCCTAAACCTAATACAATTGTGCCAATTCAGTTCTAAATTTTATTTTTTTGCGAATTGAGTCCTAAACCTTTTACATTTGTGCCAATTCAATCTATCTGGCCAATTTTGACCATAAATCGTTGATGTAAACTCTAGCCATCCTACATGGCAAGGTCAGTGCTGACATAGATATTTTTAATAATATTTTTTGAATTTTTATTTCTTTTTTCTTTTTTTCCTTTCTTATCTATCCTTTCCTTTTTTTTCCCAACTCCCAACTAAGGATCGGCGAGGGTTGCCGATCGACCCTCGCCGGGCCCTCGCTTGAGGCTAGCAAGGGACGCGACACCTCGCCTGGCCAAATCTAGTGAGGGCATCACGACCTTAGCCCAAAGCCGGCGAGGGCCACAATGCCCTCGTCGGCCCACAGTTGGCAGTTAAGGTAAAACAAAGAAAGGAAAGAAAATAAAAATAAATAAATAAATTCAAAGAATTGTTAAAATATTTTTAAAAAATGTCCACATCATTGCTGGCATCATTGGCTGCATGGACTAAATTAGCAAAACATGAAAAGATTCAGGACTCAATTGGCCAAAAAAACAGTTTTGGACTGAATTGGCAGAATTGTAATAAATTTGTAACTTTTTTGGTAATTCTCACGTTAAAATTGATCACGAAGCTTTATGTTCCCACATTTCGTTACGTATCTATATTCTCATCGATGAAATGCTTAAAATATTTAAGAACTCATCTATCTTCTGGGTGTCAAGTCTGGACCATCCTTAGTACTACATAATAGATGACCCAAATTTTATTGCAGTTTGGAGGGAGGCACACAATTTTATTTAAATCGGTGTGGAGTGCACCTACATAGTTGTGCCGACCATTGATTGGAATTTGTCTAGTTGTTCTAATCTAAGTCTGCTCAGTTGTCCTGTCACGCGGACCCACGCGTTCCCGTTCGGGCGTATTAGCCAAAACGTCGCTCCTCCTCTCCACCACTTTGCTTTGACCGCTACGACAGCTGACGCTCTGAAATCGAAGCCTACGTGTCGCCCTTGCCTCGCATCTCGTGGATACCTTTGGCCACTCGGGATGTATTGCCCCCTCGACCTCACGTGGCGCGGGGACCGAGCGAGTTCCCGTGTTTTCCCCAACCGAGGCGACAGCGCTGTATGGCCAGACAGGCGTGCCTCTATATTTTGGCCTTTTTCTCTAATGAGGGGTCTTACCTCTTTCAAAATTTTTAAAAAAATAAAGATTTTGGTATGCAACCCTTTGATAAAATTTAGGTTGTATTTTTAGAAGAATTGTATAATTATGTACACGACGCTATTTACATATTTTGAATCTTCTAAGTGATTCATGTTAAACAAAAGTTCAGACCGTGAGAGTTACGAGAGAATTGAAAGCAAAAATTAATATATGAAGACTAGATACACAACGGATGTTTGGTTCTTCGTATTTATAAGCAAAAATTATTTCATATTTGGGGACTTATGTCTTGCCTGATCCTTTGCATTAGTTAAGGATTTGTTGATATGTAGATTTATGTTCATAACTTGGGCTTCGTCGTTAAGAAAAAAGCTAGAAGCCAAACCAAATAAATTGTTGAGATATAAAATATATTCAACACTGTACTGTAATGGCTTAAAGTAAATGATTGCACAGGTAATTTCAAGTCAAACCTTATGTACTATATAGCTCGACTTTCAACTTGACTCAACTTGTTTTTTTGCCAAGGCTAAACTTAATTCATTTGTGAAAAATAAGCTGCGAGTACATGCCCGTTTAGATAAAACTGAAAAATAATTACTGAAAATTTCGAGTACTGAATTTCAAATTGGACCATTTTAGATACTTAAAATGAAAGAAAATGTTGTTTGATAATAATTAATTTCCACAGCATAACGCGGTAGCTGCATGGAACCTATGCGCGTGCTTTCATTGATTTTAAAATCGGGGCGTGGAAAGTACTTTTTACCGACAGTGGAGCACACATGGGGCTTTCGCTTTCCTTCATCTCCAATGGCGAAGGCTTCATGGATATTATGAACCAACTATACTACAATATCATGACATAGACCAATTATATTGCTGTATAATATCGCATCATAACCAATTGTTTTAATTTTTTTGTTTTTGTTTCCTATGAAGAATCTATTTTGTTAACATGTTTAATGTACTACCTCAAATTACAAATGGAAAAAAAATGAGACGTGATAAATAGTAGACATTATAGTTCACAACGATGACAGTTTATCGGTTATGTGTTTCGTTATGGAAGAAATAAACAAGTACATGCATATAATAAAGATTAGATATAAAAGAGAAAACGAATTAAAGTTTAGGGAAGAATATGAAATGCAATTTTTTTCACAACATAAAGCTTTTTTTTTTTCTCCTAATGGTGCTTTTACTGATTACTACGCACGCTCGATGGATAAATCTCTCCATAAAAAAAAAAATTGGAATCCAGGATGCGATCGGGGCAAAAGAAATTTTATGAGTCATTTAGAGTGAATGAACCAAACTTCCATTATTAGAATGATGTAATGAAAATTCCTCTCCATCTTGAAATATATATATACACACACATACAAATATATATATATATATATGAATGGGTTAGTCAAATTATTTAGATTAAATATGTTGAAGCATAGGAAGATCGATCGGGGCTATTTGTGCAAAGCACGTAATGCTGACTTATTGCCATTCGCCGGTTCAAGACTCTTCATGCGAAGCGAACCGCTGTGAGGCATATCGCCGAGAGAACAATCATCGCGCGCGTTAGCTTCCGCAGCACCTTACGGAAGGTGTGCAGAACCCACCGAGCAAATACTCACGCGCTCGCATGCACTCGCGTGCTCTTGGTGCTTTTTGATCGAAACTCGAGATCCAGCACGACTTTGAATTGACTCGCCTCTTTATATTAATAAAAGAAAATAGAAAAAGAGAACTAAGGAGTAAATGCTCACGTGCTCCAGCTGTGATCTCCACCGATTCTCGGCATTATGCGAGGAAGGTGCATTGCAGGTGCTTTAATTTAGATTCGAGATCCAGCACTGTCTTAACTTGGTTGGCCTTTCCTAAAAAACAAAACTAACGACCGACACTCACGTGCTCCTGCTGCCAATGTACATGGGTCACTAGAAAAAGCATATCAATCGTGGGATCATACATATGGGTTTTTTTTTTTTATTAAAAGTCTTCAGGATGTATTACTTTTTTTCAAAAAGAGATTCGTTTGGGAAAATAACTCTCAAAATAAATCTCTTCCAAAACAATTTTTTCAAACTAGAATTCTCCCTACTACATCATGTTTAAAGATTATCTTGTCACTTCCTTTCACCCAAGTCATTTTTATCTCTCTCAATAAATTAATCGATTTTTACGTTTCCTGTTGATTTCCTAACTTCCCCTCTAAATTTTTTTAAAAGGTGTGGAAGTTTGAAAACAATGCGGAAAGCGCAACCCAAGAAAATGTGTCGGCGAACACTTACAATGAAACTTCTCATCAAGATCCAATTGACTGATTAACGAAATGCATCAATTCGACGAAACTTATGGTACAAATATTTAAAATATTTTGGTCCGTTCGACCCAATTTTTTTCACAAATGCCGTTGATATCGTTATTCCACCTAGTTCACTCTTACAAGTGTACTTTTCGAATTCCTTCACATGCATTTTACAATCCGCTTTAACTCCATCTAATGATGACTTTGAGACATGTAAATCAATCTACAATGTCATTGAACCCACAATGTTCTCTGGCATGGGCAACCCTAATTCTTGTTCTCCGCCCATATCTTTTGGGCTGACCGAATTCCACTTTCCTCTTGTGAGTGCTTATATATATTATTCTTTGGTCTATCATGCTCACGCCGTGAGTTCCTTTCTTTCTTCACCGTTTTCTTCCTTTTTCTTTTTCTATTTTTGTTTATTCCCTTTCGAGTAGTGTTCAATCACTTCCAGTTTTGACTAAGAAAAATTAACTTGCCTGCTTTTAGCATGATGTGCATCTTTAATATTGGAAAGAATTGGCCAGTTAATTCTCCCAAAAAATGTTCAGAATATATTCCTCAATAACGAAGATTTGCTCCTCCATTCGTGCTAAAGTCCTTATACTGCATATATGATATCTGGTCAAGAAAAGGAAATAAATGGGTTAGGCCGCATTTCTCATTCCCGCAGGCTTAGTCTAATTCAC